TTCTCACAGTCTCATTCGGGTCCCTCACAACCATGCGTATATATGTGATCGCAGTCAACCAAATCCGGGATTTAAGTCACAACACATACCTGCAATCACATCAGAGTGTCAAACAACAGCCTACGTATTACACGGAGTCAACCCCAACCGATCTTCACACTCATACCCCTTGCTTTAGCTATGCAAACCCCAACCTCCTGTCCAACCAACCTTAATTAAATACTCAGTACCTTTGTTGAATGACCATTCAATAAAAGTCTGGGTGAAACCTTAATGAAACAATGAAATTCACCAGGGCTATAACTTTTTAGGTTGGGTGTGGAGGGTAAGTTGGAATTGAGTTGTAAACCGACGAATCGGCAACCGACCTGTTATCAGTGATAACAAATGATGATCCTCAAGGGATCAAGCTGAATCTAGTCCGGATCTTGAATCAAACAATCAAGAGGGTCTGTAACACATGACAGGTCAATATCCCAGGCTGAACCTATAAGCTCATGAAGAACAGTCCCCATATCGTGATCTTTAACCAAGCCATCCTAGTTAACTATATCTGAGCCTACCTTTACGCAACATGATAAAATCTCCCCCATTCAGAGTGGACTATCAAAATCGCCACCTGTCAAAAAATATAATCGATCTCCTTTAAACTAAGAAAATTTTGGCAGCGCTCCCCGTAGGAGAAGTGCCTTTCCATAATTTATATAAGTTCAAATATGAAAGCAAAAATAAACTTTAATTTTGAAAAGTCCAATTTTGTCTAACTCCCTGAATTAGTAAAAATTTGGGCAACACTCCCTTTAGAAAGGGAGACTTCCCAGATTTACACTAAGTCAGATATGAACTCAAAAAACGACTGGAGTTCAACTTAAACAAAATTTAACCAACTCCTTAGTTTTGCAGAAATTTCGGCAGCACTCCCTTTAAAAAGGTGCTATCCCAAAATTTATACAAGACTAAGTCCAAAATTTGAAGGTAACTTTGACTTCTCAAAGTCCAATTTTGCCTAACTCCCTAAATTAGCGAAAATTTGGGCAGCACTCCCTTTAGAAAAGGAGACTTTTCAGATTTTTACTAAGCCAGATATAAAAAAAGACAAAGTCGGACTTTTGACAAGTCAAAATTTTACTAACTTCTTGGATTTTGAAGAAATTTTGGCAGCGCTTCCCGTAGAGAAAGTAGCTTGCCAAGATTTATACAAAGCCAAGTATAAGAAAAGGTCTCAGAAAATGCAATAATTTACCTAAGTAAAAAAATTATTACAGAAAATGTAGGAATTGACACTAACTCCTATGGCTCTAGCACGTAGCGAGCAACAAAAGCAACTACCTATCAACCTGAAACTCAGACTAAGTAGTGGCCTCACTTAGTCACATGCAAGCCAGACCACAAAGGTAAGTACTCTCACCAGCCCCAAGTCAACCCGAACAAACAATAGTTCATGATCTCTCAATGATTTAACCCTTTATACCCATCTTTACATAAGGCATAGGCCAGGTCGCCTGAACTTACAGAGCGCGCCCAACTTAGCCAGGCCTAGAGTCAGAATACCTAAACTTATAGAGCGTTCTGACTTGGCCAAATATACACAAACAGAGGGCGCAACTACTTTTTTCTTCTTTGGGCACATGACTAGACCACTCTAGTCGCCGTAAACTGTTTAAAGTATCCAAGTTATATATACTTGTCTTCACCTTTGTCTTCTAAGGCTGCATATGACTGAACTAACTTAAGCTCAGTCTGCCCCAGTTTACCACCAGTTTTATTCTTAGTTATACTCTCTTCAAGTTGTGATACGGCTATAGTCAGACCGCCTAAACTCATAGAACAGTCTGATTAGCTCGTTCTTAAATAGAATAGTAGTAGAGTATAGCCAAGTTATAACCATTGGGTTCCAACATGTGCGAGGCTTTGAGCCAGACCCCTTGAACTTACAGAAGGGTTTAACTCTCTGCCAATTTCATTTCTCTCTGATTCATCATGTGTGTGACATCGAGTCAGACCCCCTGAACTTAAAGAAGGGTCTGCCCTTTGCCAAGATTACTTCTTGAGAATAAAAAGCAGGAAGAGGCTGAGTCACCTAAACTTATAGAACAGCTCAGACCTCCTCATTCAGAAACCAAAGAAACAGATAAAACCCCAGTGAAAACAAGATAACTTAAGACACAAAAACTTATTGAATGCCCCGAGTCCCTGAAATTCAGGCACAATCAGACCCTTCACAAGTCAGAGCAGTCAGGCCACCTGAACTTACAGAACAGCCTGACCCTCCATGCAAGTCATAGCACTAGGTCTCCCCAAACTTATGGGGACATTTCAGCCTCCAGAGCAATCTGACCCCCTAAACTTATAGAAGGGTCTGACGCTCCATGCAAACCAAAATAAACAAAGCACTGGGTCTCCCCAAACTTATGGGAACCTCCCATCCTTAATAACCCAGCCAACCATCAAGCAAAATAACCCTCCATCCTGCCTTTCCCCAGATGCAATTCCTTTTAGCAATCTGAATTCACACAATCAAAAGAAGGTTGAAATTGAAACTTAACAAATATTCATTTACTTAGTCTTGTTCAGTCTCTTGAAAGTCAAATTAAAAATAAGTAGGGTTGCACTCCATATAATCAGTCAGCGATGCAATGGGTGATACAGGCAGGGGCTATAGTCTGGGTTTATAGAGGGAAAACAATAGTTACCTATTTGTTCCCTGCCTCCAGAACTCCGCCTGACTCGGAGTTCCGGTAGAGCTCCCACAATCGGTGGGTTGACTCCCCACAGAGTCTTGATGCGGTCCTACGGGTTGCAATCCCGCCTGCCGCCTTCCCCTCAGATCAGGACTAGACTTAGAGTAAAGAGGGATAGAAGAAGAAGGTTTGAGACTCTCAGATACAAGAGGGGTGCTCTCAGACTCGCAGGAGAGGGCCTTGATATCTTGGCTCGCCTGAGGGCCCCGCAATGGCAGCCAACTGATTGCTTCGCCAACGAACTCAAACTGCCGAAGTAGCCCCTCCTGACGAACTCCCAAATTGCAGCACCAACCCCCTTACTCATCCAGCCTGATTACCTCCCCAATGCTCGACTCCTCTCCTCAGCCCAACCATAACCCGCAACAACCCTTTAATATGGCACATTCCTTAGCGATGACCAATAGCAACAATAGTAGTCGCTACTCAGTCCGCAGCGGCAGCAGTAACTCGTACACGGCCCCCAGTCACCAACAGGCAGCAACAGCAGTACACAGTCGGCGGCAAAACACAGCCGCAAGTCTTAGCTCCACAGCAATATGCGGCAGTCTGCCACATTTGGTAGTCCGCATTAGTGCACAACATTAGGTAGCCGCGTGTAACCTTTGGGACCCGCCCCCTCCCGCAAGTGTCTATCAATCGAACGACCACGCACGCTGGCAGGCAGTCCTTCCCTGCGGTGCTGTTGTCTCTTGCAGCCAAATGCCAGTATGAGGACCGCTGCCCCTTCCTTGGTGCACGGCAAAGCGAGCCCCTCTCCCCGCTTTCCTCCAACCAGGTCTCCTACGGACCAGTGCTCACAGCACGCTCGGGTAGCTATTGTCGGAGCCCATCACCACAGCAGTAACGTCCTAGACTGCAACTGTAGAAGAGTCCAGTCACTACGTCAGCTGGACTGCAGTCCGTCCGAGCGTGCTCGCCGCGTGTCAGCACTTGTCCCTTCGCTGGTCGAACAGGCGGGCTGTGCAGCATAGCGGTCTACTGACGAGCCTTCATCCCTTTGTCATCTTTGTGCACGTACCATGAGAACGCCCCATCTGGTTTCACCCAAGGCTCGTGCCGCGAACACCACCGAGAGCCCCTCTTACACATGAGGGCATCGAGAAAGAGGATACGGCAAGTGGGACCTTGGTCAAAGCCATCCGCTTACTAGCAGCACACGCGGGAGTCACGAAAACGAGTTATAATTGGATGGGCCAAGATACAGTTTGCAATTGCAGTTCGGGCAATGTATACAACCCAACTTTCTGGCCAGGTAAGGTGCCTGACTGCAATTGCAAACTGTATCTTGGCCCATAGTGCAATTATAACTTGCTTTTGTGACTCTACTGAAGTGACCCCTTTTTATGTGCCTCGTACAGGTATCTCCAGTCTTCCTTGTACCTCCAGTCTTCTCACAAACAAGACCGTCAAGTAAGACACACACACACAGACAGACAGAGAGAGAGAGAGAGAGAGAGAGAGAGAGAGAGAGAGAGAGAGAGAGAGAGAGATGTAAAACGCCGAATATTGGTAGTTAATCGTTAAAATATGGGCATAGACACACGACGAGCGAGCGCGAGAGAGAGAGAGAGAGAGAGAGAGAGAGAGAGAGAGAGAGAGAGAGAGAGAGAGAGAGAGAGAGAGAGAGAGAGAGAGAGAGNAGAGAGAGAGAGAGAGAGAGAGAGAGAGAGAGAGAGAGAGAGAGAGAGAGAGAGAGAGAGAGAGAGAGAGAGAGAGAGGGAGGAATACTGCAGGGCGCACACCTGGAAACGAGCACCACACTGCAGGCAGGCAGGCAAGCATGTGTTCTATTTGAATAGAACACCTGTCTGTTCGAATAGAACAAACGTGCGTACTATTTGAATAGAACATATGTGCGAACTATTTCAACGTGCGTACTATTTGGATTTCAGGGGGGGACTTCGAGAAATCGACTTTTTCAGGGAAAGTTGAATAGTACATACGTGCGTTTTGTTCGGGGGAAGACTGTAGGTAGGAGTAGTGGTAGGTAGGTAGTGTGAGGAAAAATTGAGAGAAGAAAAAAAAGTCTCAGGTCCCATTTACACGAAATAAGCGATATTGACCGTAGATAGCAAAGATCAACGGCCAGAATCTCGTAATCCGTGCAAGTGGGACCTTGCCCCGGGACCGGTGGATAAGCGTTGTCTGGGACGTCCCGAGTGACGTAGGGGAAGGCGGGAGTGTGCGCGGGCGCAAGTTTTCCGCGAGTCAAACGGCACGTTTCAGGCATTACCACAGCGTACTGTTGCGCGGACTGGGCGGAGACGCTCCGGGCCCTTGCGGGGCTTACATTCCGTGCGCGTGCGTGTGCGTGTGCGTGTGCGTGTGATTGCCTGGGCAGAGATGCTTCGGGCCCTTGCGGGACTGACATTCCCTGCGCGTGCGCGTCATTTGGCGGTGGGACTGGCGCCGAGAGCCTCACTGTCGTCCGCTGTGTAGTCACAGAACCAGCCAATCATGATGGATGGAGGGATGATTATAGATAGCAATCCGATCGATAAAGGCGATGCCATGGACGCCAGCGAGATCGTCGTGACGCGAGCGGAGCAATATATGTCGGATGAATGGAAAGCGGAGAGCAGGTGGACGACGAAGGGACCGCTGACGTCAACGGAGGAAGAGAAGGGGGGAATGCAGGAGGCGGGGGAGGAAGACGACGAAGGCACTGTTGACGTCAACGGGGGTGGTTTAGTAATGCCCGAGAGCTCGGAGATGGTGGTGATGATGGACGTCGAGGAGGAGAACTCGGAGATGAAAGATATGTCTAATTTACCGGATGAAATATGGTATTATATTCTGTGTATGGGTGTTAAAAGAGGCCTGAGAGCGCGGGATGTGTGCGCGTTGGGGCTCGTGAGCCGTCGTTTGAGACGGATCAGCGATGGCGATTGTGTGTGGGAGAAGCTATGGGAAGCGGCTACAAACTCCGCGGGAAAAGATGTTTTGGCGGGAGATGCGGGAAGCAACGACGACCAAGCTATGGTAGCCGAACGCCACAGCTGGAAATCCAAAGTCCATGCAAGGTAGGTCTCACCATTTCCCGCGCAAATGAAGTGGAAAAATGGAAAGCCCGCGCAAGGTAGGTGGTTTCGCGATTGTCCGTCAAGAGTGGAAATGGAAAGCCCGCGCAAGGTAGGTGGTTTCGCGATTGTCCGTCAAGAGTGGAAATGGAAAGCCCGCGCAAGGTCGTTTTCATTACTGTATTTCCCACCATCCCGCCATAAATGGACATGAAAGAAAAAAAGCCCGCGGAAGGTCGTTTCCATTATTTCCCGCCATAGAATTAGACATGGATATCCTGCCAAAGTAGGTCTACGTTCATTTTTTTGGGGGTGGTGGTTAACCGGACGGTAATGCCTACATTCCAATCGTCGGGGAATGTTAGCTCCTGATTCATTGAATGTGGTGGCCTCATCTGTTCCTTTCTTGTCGGACGTAGTCATTTCCATTTCCTCCCTCTGCGCACCCGCGCTTGTCCTTGCTTTCCCTCTCTCGCCTCCTCTCTCTTCTCCGATCTCCTCTTTTGTTCTTGCTTTCTGTTGCTGCTGTCTGACCGCATACTCCCTCTAGGACTTTCTCGACTGAACCCTCTGGACGTGATTGCGGTCCGATGCATACAGTTTTAGCCGTAATTGAACCCAGAGACATCTAGGAGGGAAGTGTTAATGTGACTAAAGCTGTCCTCCCTATCTTTCCTTTCTCCCGGCACTTCCATCTTCCGCCTACCCTCTCAGAACTCGGCGCGCTGCCTCTCTCTCGTTTCCCGCCTACCGTATTCCCCGAACATAGCGCACCCTCATCATGACCTTATGGGACCGAATTGATAGCTTTATACATTCACAAGCAGGGTGCGTTTTGCTCGGGGGAAGTCGGTAGCCGTGTTCCCTATCTCCTCCCTTCTCTTCTCCTCTTAACCCTCCTCTCTGCCCACACTCTCTGCCCCTGTCTTCCGTCGTGGCTCCTCCTTCCGTCATCTGCCTTTCGCATGTCCTCCGCGCCCCCGCCCACTACCCCCCCTTCCCCGTCCGTCTTTCCCTCACCGTCCGTCTTTCCCTCCTCCTCTCTTCCTCTTTGCTCTCTCGGCTTCTTCCTCCCTCACCTAACCTCCCTCACCGTCCGTCTTTCCCTCCTCCTCTCTTCCTCTTTGCTCTCTCGCCGTCCGTCTTTCCCTCCTCCTCTCTTCCTCTTTGCTCTCTCGGCTTCTTCCTCCCTCACCTAACCTCCCTTCCATCCATCCCTCCCTCCCTCCCCATCGTTCTCGTTCTCTCCTCCCTCTGTTCGTCGATCTCGCTATTCTCTCTACCCGTACTCTCGCCTACCGTCTTCCACCGAGCGTAACGCACCCTCAGGATGCGTGGTCCCCACCACAGCTACCATCTTCAATTGTAACAAGCCGGAAAGATGGTGGGGACCACGCACCGAGGTTCTATACGTTCGTGATCAGGCAGGGTACAGTGTACGGGGAAGACGGTAGCTGTGGTGCCTCCTTTTTCTCTCGCTTCGTTTCGCTCTCCTACCTCTCTCCCACTTTCCCTCACGCTTCGTATCGCTCGCTCTCTCCTCCCTCGTGGCTCTCCCACGTTTTCTCACGCGTCGTTTCTCCCCCTTTTCGCCGCTGTAAGGACCAGGAACAGACGTCCCCGCCATCCATTCCACTCGTTGGGCAAGCGGACGGCATCTGGCCTCACAGCTTCCTCTCTCTTTGTCTTTGTTTCCCTGGGACAGATCTATGTAGTATTTCAGATGGGACCTGGAGCTTTGCTCCCTCAATGGCAAGGCCTCGGCTCTTGCTCGCTTTTTTTTTGGGTAATATTTAGTTGCATTAACTTGCATACCTGTAGAATAGAAGAAAAAGGGGGATAAACCCCCCACATATTGAAACATGTTTAATGAAAAAAGACCACCTCTGTACGCACCGATACGTGAAACGTCTTTGTTGAAGGGAGAGAGTTCATGGTCCGAGAGATAGATAGATAGATAGATAGATAGATAGATAGATGGATAGAGATAGATAGATAGATAGAGAGATAGATAGGTAGAGAGAGAGAGAGAGAGAGAGAGAGAGAGAGAGAGAGAGAGAGAGAGAGAGAGAGAGAGGTTGCGTGGGGGAGGAAGGAAAAAGCTTACCACTGAGTGAAGTATAGAGTGTGTGGAGTTGTAAAGCGTCCGTCTCTGTTGAAGAGAGAGAGGGACGAAAAGAGTCGTTATTGTTCCATGCTGAAGGAGGTTCTCTTTTGCCGTCTGCATCGCCGTTGACTTTTCTTGGTCAAACCTGCAAGTCAACGGAATGCTAATTTTAGTTGATGAATATGAATAGAGTAATAAATGAATGAATACAGGTTAACGTCGTTTCCGTGTCAAAATCGTTTAAGCGAAATAAATGGCGTTGACAGCATGGGAGTTGTGCTGCTAAGAGGACTCAGCCGGTGGAAGCGCTCGAGGCGTCTTTTTTTTTTTTTTTTTTTTTTTTTTTTCCTTTTTAAAGTGCGTCTTTCCCAAAAGCATATGCAGCGATGAGAAATAGTGCTTTCATGCATGAATGCTCTTGACCACAGCAGAGAGTATTCAGAGAGTATTCATGTCAGTGTGAATTAACTGGGGCATTTCATGCGTTATAACTTATAATGGATGACGTCTGGAGTGGTCAACGAGGCGAAGAGGACCCTTGTGAAAGTGGCGGATGAATCTGGACGTGATTTTATCGCACGGTACACTCTTAGTAGTGTGGAACGAGCCGCTTACTCTTCCCGGTAGCTTTTCGGTTGTTTCACCTTTCGAATAGAACGCCCGGCCCTCAATAGTAGCTGTATTTGTGGCAATGTTCAGTCCAGATGTAGCAATAATAATGACCGGGCGTTCTATTCGGGTGAAAGACTGAACGTCGTGGCGACACGAAGGCTACAGTCATTGTTGGAACCAAGACGACCTGTGAGCTTCCTCGATTTTCTTTTCTTTTTTTTTTTCTTTTTTTTTTTTTCTTTTCTTTTTTTTGAACAAGAGACATGCTCTTTCTTCTTCTTTTTTTTTTGTTTTTTTGTTTTGAACAAGAGACGTGCTCTTTCTAGTTGTGTCCTGGATTGATTTTGAGACATGTTGTCCTGGATTGATTTTGAGACATGTTGCAGACAGACTGCGCCACAGGTGCAAAAGGCAATACTTGGTATCAACCGCCGTCTTTACCCGAATAGAACGCCGGGTCATTCTAGCGGTATTTGGACCAACTGTTAGTCTAGATGCAGCGATGGTGACTGGGCGCGTTCTATTCGGGGGTCAAGACGGGTAGTGAAAGTGGACTGTTCTACGGTTCTACCCATAATTAGACGATTTCACGGGTTTCTTTTGTCCCGCTGTCTTATTCCGATGAGGTGCCACGGAAGCTGATTAATTTCCCTTGTTCTCCTCTCTCTATTTTTTTTTTTTTTGTGTTTTCTTTTCCGTTTTATGAACCGACCAATCAACCAACCAACCAACCAACCAACCAACCAACCGACCAATCAACCGACCAACCAACAAATCAGTGATCGAATCTTTATGTTGGCATGAGGGAAAATCGTGGAAGTTCATTGACAAGTCAACTAAACAACCAGCTAGCCGGTCGGAATGGTCAATCAATCAAATCAATCAAATCAATCGGAATGGTCAATCAATCAAATCAATCAAATCAATCAAATCAATCAAGTCAATCAATCAATCAAATCAATCAAATCAATCAATCAAACCAATCAATCAAATCAATCAAATCAATCAATCAATCAATCAAATCAATCAATCAAATCAAATCAATCAATCAAATCAATCAAATCAATCAAATCAAATAATCAAATCAAATCAAATCAATCAATCAAGCAAGCAATCAATTGATGAATTGTAATTTAATATATATAGCCACGAGGGCGCCCTTGTACGCAAGAGATTCTGAACAGGGGGAGTTGTAAGGAAGAAGATAAAAAAACGAATTCATTTTTTCTTTGTTTTCTTTGTGTTTTTTTTTTTTTCGTTTTTGCGCTCCGATATTTTTGTGACAAATATATATATAGAAACAGTTTGTCACAGCCCCTCGTTTGTTGTCTTCTTCTCTCTCTCTGCCTACGGTTTACCGGGCAGTTCTGTTTGTGACGATATGTGACAATATATAGCACAGCCCCTTGTTTGTTGTCCTCTTCTCTCTCTCTGCCTACGGTTTACCGGGCAGTTCTGTTTGTGACGATATATAGCCTCCTGATGAGTAGGAAGGTGAAACTCCGACGAAACACTTTGTCACAGCCCCTCGTTTGCTGTCCTCTTCTCCCTCCCTCTCTCCGTACCCACGGTTTACCGGGCATCATATATATATCGTCAAATAGAACTGCCCGGTAAACTAGCCGACAGTCTGTAGAGAGTTCCATCTGGTGTGGGTGAGTGATTGTCTGCTTTGATTTTCGTCACAGGTACCTTGAGGGCAGTGGTTGGTGGTCCCCACCACCTCAGGGGTATCAGTTGTCGGGCAGTCGTTGGTGCTTAACCACAACCGGGGTTAAGGTGGATTATCACTCAGTGTAATGAGTTAGGGGATTCTGCAGAGGGGTGGATTATCACTCAGTGTAATCAGTTGGGGGATTCTGCAGAGGGGTGGATTATCACTCACAGTGTAATCAGTTAGGTGATTCTGCAGGGGGGCTGTGACAAACTGTTTCGTCGGAGTTTCGCCGACTCATCAGGGGGCTGAACCCTAAAAAACAGTCTGCAGAATCCCCTACCTGACTGATTACACTAAGTTATAATCCACCTTAACCCCGTCTGTGGTTAAGCATCAACGCCTGCCCGACACTGATACCCCTTCTGAGGAGGTGGGCACCAACCACTGCCCTCAAGGTACCTGTGACGAAAGTCAAAGCAGGCTATCACTCACCCATACCAGATGGGAATCTCATATATATACGAGTCGGTCCCTCGTTTTTTGTCCTCTTCTCCCTCTCTGCTTACGTTTTACCGGGCAGTTCTCTTTGACGATACATATATGGGGGCAGCCGCCGCTCAATCGACATCCACGTGGGCGGCCTTGTACGCAAGAGGTTCTGAACAGGGGGAGTTGTAAGGAAGAAGATTAAAAACGAATTCAGTTTTTCTTGTTTTCCTTGTTTTCTTTCTGTTTTTCGCTTTGGCGCTCTGATATCATGTGACTATATATATAGCGCTGCAACCTGTCATCCACGTGGCTGGCCTTGTACGTAAGAGGTTATGAACAGGTGGAGCTTTCCTTACCTCCTTCCCCTTCCCCTTTTTTCCTTTTCCTTTTTTCTTTTCCCTTTTTTGTGCTCTGATTCACAATGTGACAATATATATATGAAACTCCGACGAAACAGTTTGTCACAGCCCCTCGTTTGTTGTCCTCTTCTACCTCTCTGCCTACGGTTTACCGGGCAGTTCTATTTTTGTCTTCGTTGTCTATATTGGGACGTCGGCAGGCTCCTTCGTTGTCTATATTGGGACGTCGGCAGGCTCGTTCATTCTCTCCTCCTCCCAGTCCCCCTTCCTCTCGACGTCGTGTTGAT